TCATAAGAACATACTCCTGTAGCATTACCTGGTGAAGGTGTACCCAGCAGCTTGATAAATAACAACTTGTATTTCCCAGGTATCTAAAAGAAAAAAAAGCCACACAGCAAAACCACAGTCTCTTCCCGTGGCTGTATGTACAGAGAGATCAGCAGTCCTGGAACAATAAGCCTGCCCATGACCTGTAGCAAAGCTGTGAAGAAGCTCACCTGTCCTTGGGAGGCAGGAGGCTGCCTGCAGACTCTAAGCTCCTCTGTCCTCCCTGTGGTGTTTCAGCCATGATAATGTGTTCAGCCTTGATTTTGCAAGAGTTGAAGTGAAACCTGAATCTGTGACCTTGGATTAGTTCCTCTGTTTGACCAAGGAGGTTGTGTAACCTCTGTCTACCCTCTTCTTCTAGGTTACAGGCGCATGTCTCTGGCCCTGAACAAGACTGGAAGGAGCATTGTGTACTCCTGTGAGTGGCCTTTCTACTTGAGGCCTGTGCAGCAGGTAAGGAGTGTTTCTCAAGGCTTATCCTGGGAAGAACAAAAAAGCAGTAAGACCACAAAACAGCCTCCTGAGAAACTTGCTGCTCTCTGGTCTGACAGAAAACAAGCCTGTAAGGTAGAAGAAAACCACTTTTTCCTCTAGAGCCCTGAAGTGCACCTGAGCGAGTCATTACTCTGCTGAAAATAATTGAGGAGGATCCCGCAGCAGGAAGGCGTAGCCCCGCTGGAGCGTGCCAGAGAACACAGCAGCCTCCATCTGCAGGCTGTGTCTGAGGAGCCAGGCAACAAAACACGGGCAGTGCAGACACACAGCCAGCGAATCGTTTTGTGTTGCTCCTCCTGGACACTGAGTGCTACAGCCTCAGCCTTCCAGCCACCTCCAGGGACAAGGACACAGGCTTTAGGACAGCCTACTCAACAGAAATTCTCCACATTGTTTACCAACAGATTCCTGCCATCCAGGGTCTGTGACCGACCTGTTGCTCTCCACCCAGAGCTGGTTTCCCCTGTGCCACCACGACAGGATGCTGCCATTCCCTCCCACTGGGAGTTAAATGCGTTAGTCACCAAAGGGTGTAAACCCAAGAAATGTCAGTAATTACTGGCATGTTGCAGTTTAATCCTGCTGGCCCCGTCACACCTTCGGGAAAACAGCGCTCAAAGGAATTTTCTAACAGAGCTGGGTGGCCACAGCTGTCCTCCCAAGGGAGACAGTGTTGTCTGGAGCATGGCAGACTGGAGTTACTGGGCACCAGGTGTTCTAGAGAACCAGCGTGCACTGGATCATCCAGATAGCTGGTGATGGAAGGTGTTATCGTAGTTCTCCCCCAAATTACCCCTGATGCAGTCTAGCCTTGCGTACCGTCTTGTTCTCGTACAGCCAGGCTCTCTGGCTAATCACTCATTGTTTTGGCAGCCCAATTACACGGAGATCAAACAGTACTGCAATCACTGGAGGAACTTTTTTGATGTCTATGACTCCTGGAGCAGCATCAAGAGTATCTTGGACTGGACAGCACTTCACCAGGACAGCATTGTGAAGATAGCTGGGCCAGGAGGCTGGAATGATCCTGACATGGTAAGCAAAGCAACACCCACCTCCCTTGCAGCACCAGCACAAAGTCTTCTCCTCAGCTGTAGGCTGAGAAGGATGAGGAGAGAGAGAATAGGGTGAGAAACACTGAGGGGAAGGGCACTGACAGGGCCCTAGGACGAGGAACTTGATGAGAGGGTCCCTGTCTGGAAAGGGAGAAGGAGCTACAGCTGCTGACAGTACTGCAGAAGCTGTCTCTGAGTAACGCAGCCTCCGCAAGCGGTGCCAGGTCAGAACACAGGTGTGGCAGCGGGAGACAGTCCCCCAGGTGCTGATCTCCCACCAGTGGGAACAGCCCTGGGTGCCAGCACTGCGAGGAACAAACAGCTGCATCCAAAAGCAGATCCTTAAACGCTGCCCAGCCAGTTAAGGATCCTTCTTTACCTCCACCAGTGGCTCACCCCCAATTGCCACACTAGTCATGCGTTGTCTTTCCCAGCCAGCTGGTCCTGCTCCTGGCAGTCAGCCGAGGTAAACAGTCCCCAAACAGGGGTCCCTCCCTCAGCATCCTGTCATTTACCAGTGCTCAGGGTGGTGGCCCAGTTTCTCCTTGGCAGGCAGCGTTACCGGGCATCTTTGTTTTCTTGTCACAGCTGGTGATTGGAAACTTTGGGCTGAGCTGGGACCAGGCGGTGACTCAGATGGCGATGTGGGCTATTATGGCAGCTCCCCTCTTCATGTCCAATGACCTGCGGCACATCAGTCCTGAGGCCAAGTGGCTGCTCCAGAACAAAGAGGTGATCGCCATCAACCAGGATCCACTGGGCAAGCAGGGATACCAGATCACCAAGGTACGCCAGGACTGGGTTGGGAGCCTCCTCAGAAAAGGGACACGGGGTACAGAGTCTGGGAACAGGAGCCCAGTGAACCCACTTGTTCCTCAAGTTCCTCTGCTTAAACAGACAGACACAAAGCCCATGAGTTCTGCCTCCCCTCACGTAACCCCCGGGTGTATTTTCTCCTTGGCAGGACAAGAACTTTGAGCTGTGGGAGCGGCCCCTGTCTGGACGAGCCTACGCTGTGGCGGTGCTGAACCAGCAGGAGATTGGGGGACCCCAGAACTTCACCTTCTCCTTCACCTTCCTCGGCAATGGGCTTGCTTGCAACCCAGCATGCTCAGTCCGGCAGGTCCTGCCAGCTAGCAGAGACTGGGGGGTTTACAGCTGGGTCTCCTCCCTCAGCGTGGAGGTGAACCCAACAGGCACTGTGCTGCTGAAATTAACAGCACTATAGGGGGCACAAAGACAATCTTGTCATAAGCCTCAGACTCCGGCTCAACTTCTTGTCACAAGAAGCCCATCTCCTCCCTCCAAGCAGGGTGCCTTTGTTCCCTCCTCAGGCATTCACTACTCAAGTGCATCTACATGGAGTTGGAACCTTCAGCCTAACATGACCAATACCCATCACTCCATCACCCAGAGATCCAGAGCAAGGGGCGGTGCTTCTCTTCTGTTTACCCTTTCTCTGCCATCTCACATAACTCCTTCTCCAAGGGGCTGTCAGGGCCCCAGCAGGGCAGCAATTCCTGTTAACGCCCAGTACCAACCAAAGAAACGCAGAGGACACCTGCAGCATCTTACAGCTCTCCAGGAGCGTTTCAGGGACGATAGGGAAACGTGCTCTGGCTGCCTTGCTCTTGCTTTGCCAGGCCAAGAACAAGAAAAGCTGCTCCTACCCCCGCTGAAGAAACTCAACACTCCTCAGAGCATGGACATCTACTTCCACCTTCTGGCAACTCAGGGACTGGCCACAATCACTGCACTTCCTAGCAACTGCTTTCTTGACACCTGCCTGCTTAGTGTAAATGTGATTTAAGGATCATGCCTCAGGACTCAGCTTTTGAGGGCTTCTCCTTACTCCAGGAGTCTTTCTCTCACCAGTGGCTGTCAATTCCTTTAGATGACAATTCCCTCCCCGCCCTTCATGGGACCACTGGGGTCCACTTCCTCAGCCAGCTGCCTTCCAGAAATACCTGTGTGCTTGCTTTCCACTACTGGCAGGAGGCTTGAGGTTGAATAACACAGGTCCTTCTGAGACAGGAGATGGACAGAATCATAGAATGGTTTGGGTTGGAAGGGACCTTTAAAGGTCATCCAGTCCAACCCCCCTGCAGTGAGCAGGGACATCTTCAACCAGATCAGGTTGCTCAGAGCCCCATCCAACCTGACCTTGAATGTTTCCAGGGATGGGGCTTCTACCACCTCTCTGGGCAACCTGGGCCAGGGTTTCACCACCCTCATTGTGAACAGTTTCTTCCTTATATCTAGTCTGAATCTGCCCCCTTTTAGTTTAAAATCATTATCCCTTGTCCTGTCCCTGTGGGCCCTGCTAAAAAGTCTGTCCCCATCTTTCTTACAGGCCCCTTTAAGTACTGAAAGCCTGCTGTAATGTCTGCCTGGAGCCTTCTCTTCTCCAGGCTGAACAGCCCCAACTCTCAGCCTGTCCTCATAGGAGAGGTGCTTCAGCCCTCTGATCATTTTTGTGGCCTCTTGACCTGGTCCAGCAGGAGGCCCCAGAGCTGGACACAGCACTGCAGGTGGGGTCTCAACAGCGGGGAACAGAATCCCTTCCCTCGACCTGCTGCCCACCCTTCTCTTGATGCAGCCCAGGATGCAGTTGGCCTTCTGGGCTGTGAGCGCACATTGCTGGCTCATGTCCAGCTTTTCATCCACCAGTACCCCCAAGTCTTTCTCTGCAGGGCTGCTCAGTCCCTTCATCCCCCAGCCTGTACTGATATCAGGCATTGCCCCAACCCAGGTACCTCACACTTGGCCTTGTTGAACTCCATGAGGTTCACACTGGCCCACTTCTCAAGCTTGTCCAGGTCCCTCTGGATGGCATCCTGTCATCTCAGACATGCCAACCACACCACTCAGCTTGGTGCCATCTGCAGACTTGCTGAGGGTGCACTCGATCCCACTGTCTGTGTCACTGAGTGAGATATGAAACAGCACTGGATACTTAATCACCTACACAACCATCATGTACAAGTATGTTCTCTTCTGACTGCTACACAATCAGGATATCTTGATTTACTCTTATTTCTGTGATTAAGCACTTTAATTAAAATGTCCTTTATAAAGGCTAAGCTTTTCCTTAGTTCCACTGCACAGCAACACAGCACAGTACCAGAAATTCAGTCAGGATTTAGAAAACAGGCCGGTTTGTTCCAGTCACTGTGTCAGGATCACAAACAGCGCTCGGTAAAGCTGACACAGGGCAGCCCCCTCACAGGCAGAGAGAGGCCACAGCCACTGCTGGCAACAGCTTCAGGAGCCCAAAAGCTCCCACCACACCTGCAGTACTGAATAACCAAAAGCAAACTGTTACTGCTCAGTAACTGAGCCCTCTCAGTCCCCAGGAGGATGCAGAGGCATTTCTCCATCCTCCAGCTCTATCTCCACTACAAGAAAGTTACTCTTGAGAGCTCCATTGTGCTGCCAGCACCTGCTCACAGGGCACATGCTGCTGCTGCTGCCTCCAGGGATGATCCCGTCAAAGCCCAGGTAGGCTGGAGTCACCCATCAATCACTGCTCAGGTGACACTTCAGTGCTGTGCTTGAGCTTTTCTTAAAGAGGTGCCATCAGCAGCCAGACCCAGGGGCATGAAGCTGTCCCTCTGCCATCCATGAGCTACAGCAGCACTCGGCCACGGCACAGTGGCCATAGTTCAGCTGCAGCACAGAACACTGCCTGATGGTGCAGGTGATGCTCCATAAGATGAAGGTCCTGGTACTACACCCACCAGCTGCTCCAGGGCCTGGCTTGTGTGTTACCCCTCAGGGCAGCACAACCGTTCCCTGTTTGTAAAGGGGGGCCTCCAGCCAAGTGCAGGGACAGTCTGGGGGAGTTCAGATTACTCTGGTCCCTACTGTGTTGAAACTATTGCTGGGGACAAGGAACCTTACCTGCCTCTCCTCTGGAGCAAGGGCTTGGAGAGGAAAAATGTGTACTCAGGCAGCTCTGCTGCTGCCTTCTCCCTCCCGGCCAATCACTACTTCATCTACCAGCAATTCAAACTCACAGTAGCATTCCTGGAATGGAACCACTATAACAGAGACTGTCTTAAATGAAACAAGCTGCAGAAGTTTCGAGGAGGCCCTTTTGAATCACAGAATATTAGGGATTGGAAGGGACCTCAAAAGATCATCTAGTCCAATCCCCAAGGCAGCCTTCTACCATGGAAACTCATAAGCAAGCCTGGAGAAAAGCAACAGCACAACACTCACACCAAGAAGCCACTGGTACAAAAATCCACCAGATCCTCAGGCTCTACATGTCCTACAACATCTCCTGCTACCACAGTAAGGAGATCCCACCCGTCTGCAGACCTTCAGATTACAAACTGTCCACTTACTAAGCAGCTTTGCAGACCAAACCTTCCTGCTGGGTCGATGTACTCACAAGTCCCACCTCACTACGAGGAGATACACAAAAACAAGCAGCAGATCACTTCCAAATACTTTAATAGGGTCCATAACAACAAGCAGGATGGAGCTTAGAACTGGATCACCTGGCCCTGCAAGAAGGAAGAGACAGAGGGAGTTTACTGACCACTGAACATCACCAGCCTCTCTCGGCCACTCCTGGTGCACAAACATACCTTTCTCTTCTTGTCTCCTCCCAGTTCAAAGTGCTTGCACCTCTTAATGGCCAGCATCCTCTTGGACCTGCAGTTGGGCTCCACGCACTCCAGCCTCAGCACAATCTTCTTTGTGGTCTTAGCCTGGGAGGAGAGGAGCAGAGTGCACCGATGAACGGAGTGTCAACAGGCAGACAAATGGCTGCTCTCAGGAAAAGCCTGTTAGCTGCACTCCTGAAGATTCAGCAGGTTGTCTTCAAAGTGCAAAGAAAGGGACTAGCAACACAGTTAGGCTCCCTCCATTAAAAACAAGGTGGCACCTTGAGGAACAGCACAGGAGTAGGGTGGATCTGTAGCTTCACAAGAAAGGACACCCACAAAAGCATTGAGTGGGGCAGGGCTGGTCCCTGCAGAGATCAGCCACACTGACTGGGAAGAAAGTCTGGGCCAGTGAACAGACCAAGAAACAGGCACTGCACCAGGAAGCCAGGCAGAAAGAACACCTGGAAGCACCACAACTGACAAACCTTCCCTGGAAGCAGCAGCGACGCAACGTGCTCAGCGCAGACCCACGGCGACGGAGAAGTCAGATCAAACCCAAAAGACTTACAGAGGGAAGAACCCAAAGCTGTAAAGCTACTGCAGCAGCTGGACAGGGCTGCAACCAGCAGTTCTAACCTTGGCTGATCATCCATGTAATGCTGAGTGGGCAGAAACAGGAGTGGGGATGGCAGTGTGGAGAGGGCCAGACTGCGAGAGCGGCACGGCTGCTCTGTGTACCCTGCTTACAGGGGGGTTCTCTGCAAGGTCTCCCCACTTCCTGGCACAAAGGCAACCTGACAAACTGCTGTCTCATTTTGGTTTTGTTGCTGGAAGACTTCCTGAACATCTCCAGCAGAACACCAGGGCTTTCCAGCAACCAGGCAAGTAGCTCTGTCAGTGTAACTCAACAGCTCACACAAAAACTAACACACCAGCCCAGCAGGTTTTGCTTCCATGCTGGAAACACCACAGATTTTGTTTCATTACAAGCTTCACGTCCAATGGGAGCTCACTCCCCTACAGCACCCAGGCTCCCTGCAGGAGTTACATCACTCCTGCAAAAAAAGGAGCATCCACATGAGACAGGAACAGCAGAGGAGATGAGCAGATGTGGATGGGGAACTTACACTCCCCAGACAGCACAACCACCACTAAGCTGCCATAACAACTGAGCACAGGACCAGCCTAAGGCTGCGGGAGGCTGAAGCGTCCCTCTCCAGGTGGGCACGTGGATTGACAGGGTTTCAGGTCCTCCTTCCAGGAGCAGCACTCACCTTCTTACGGAAGATGGGCTTTGTCTGGCCCCCGTAGCCACTCTGCTTCCTATCGTAGCGTCGTTTTCCTACAGGAGGAAATGGCTCTGGTTAGGCAACCACTCAAGACAAGGGCTACAAGCACAGCTGGTGCTCTTACCAAACCCCAGC